AATATATTCTCTCCCATTAAGTAGACTATATCCAATTAAAATAAATATCTCCTCATAAAAGTCCAGCAACCAAATTGTTTTACCTAAAGACATTTTTAGACATTTATCTTAGTTTATCAAATGTCATTTACCATATTTTGAATAAGAATGAAATTAAATTCTAATATTCTCACCAAGCAGGAGTGCCAGATAAAATACAGGACACTCAGTTAAATTTGAATTTCATATAATAATAAGTAATTTTTGTATGTCCATGCAGTATTTGGGATATACTTATACTAAAAATTTGCTTGTTGTTTATCTTAGTTCAAATTTAATGGGCGTCCTGTTTATTTATTTGCTAACTGGCAACCCTATTGCCAAGACAAGTGTCACTGGAGGAAATCTGAAGCTCTTGATAGTGTTTTTAACCAAGCATATAGACTTTTATTTACAGTTTGAAATCAACTTTAGTTTAATCATAGAGTAATTATGCTGCTTCCAACCCCTCGTGTCTCACTGGCTCTTAGCCCACTCCAGTCTGCCTCAGAGAGCCCATCACACCATGGAAATGGCTTTTGTCACGGTCATTAACTTTTTCCATGTTGCCGGAATCAACGGACACTTTCCTGCCCTCCTCTTAACTTCTCAGCATCATTCGGTGATGTTGGCCTCCCTCCGCCTCTTGACAGAGTTTTGGCTTCTGTGACCCCTCCCCCCCATCCTGGTTTTCTACCTATCTGACAGCTAATTCTGAACTCCTCTGTCAGACCCTGCTCCTCTAATTCCATTTGGAAATTCCTCATGGCTCCATACCAGGTTCCTCTTTCTTCTCCCTCTACGCCAACACTGATCAATAGAAATTTCTGCGAGGATGGAAATGTTCTATATATGCACTAATCAAACACGGCAGTCATTAGTTACACGTAGCTAATGAGGAAACGTGGCTAGTGTGACTGAGGAACTGAATATTTAATTATGTTTAATTAATTTATACTGCCACATATGGACAGTGGCTACCACATTAGATAGCACAACTCCAGGCTACCTTACCAGGTGAGCTATTCTTGGCTTGCTTAGGATTTCTTGGTTTTTATCTATAGCTCAGATCTCTCCACAGAGTTCTAGGGTTATAGCCATCTGATTAACTTGGATGACTCGCAAGCATTAATTGATCATAACTGTTCTTTTTGGCTGCCACTATTTCAGAGAATGGCTCCACCAGCCACTCGATTTGTTGAAGCTAGAAACTGAGTTGTTCTGGATTTTCGCTCTTCCTTACTATCCCACATCCAAAGGTAAGTTCTACTGACTCTACCTCCAAATTGCATTTTGAATCTGTCCACTTCCTTCTATCTCCCCTGCTACTGTTTAATTCAAACCATCATCATTTCTTACCTGGATGGCTTGCAGTCATCTCCGGGCTTCTTGAAGCAGCTTCAAGCCATTATCTACATTGTTTCAAAATGATCTTCTCAAAACATGAGTTGGACCATATCACTTTTCTGTTTACAATTCTTCAGTGATTTGAAACTGCTCCTGGAATAAAATCTAATGCCTTGTCTTGGACTTCAAGACTCTAGACTCTGCTTCCCATTCCAACCCATTTACACCGTGTTTCCTCTTGCACTATGCACTAGCCCTTCTGGGACCGCATGCAGAGCCTTTGCACTTGCTGTTCCTCCATCTGCAATCTCTTCCCTGGCTGTTCCACCTGGCTAACCTTTTCTCATCCTTCAGTTCTTAACTCTGTACTACAGGGAGCTCTTCCATAACCACTTTATCCGAACAGGTTCACTTCTATTTCCTTATTCCCTATCTCAGCACCTGTTTTCCCCTTTACGGCTTTTCCCGTCTCTAATCACAGTGTCTGCTGACCTCTTTATTGTCTGTGTAGCCCACCAGCCTGTTAGCTCCACAAGGGCAGAGACTTCTATTTAACTCACCTCTGTATATCCAATACCAGCACATCATTAATCCATAGTGGAGCTCAGTAAATATTTGTTGAATGAATGAAAGAGCTCATGATTTGACTTGTAGGCAGCGTATTGTATCTAATTTTGTTGCTTTCAAAACCCAATTTTTAATTTGTACTTTAAGTAGCAACAAGTAGATGACTTGGCTCCTGCCAACTCCTTCCCTTTTTCATTAAATGAACAGAACAACGGCATCCAGGAGAAGGTTAGAGATAATAGAGATTAATTACACTAAGAATACTGTCTCTCTTTCAAGCCTCCACGAGACCACATTGCTCTCAGCTTTCTGGGACTACTTATCCCAAAGATCGGAATCACCTGGGAAGCCTTAACATTTACTGATGGCTGGGTCTCACCCCTAGAGGCTCTGATATAATTGGTCAGAGGTGCATCCTTGATCCTAGGATTTCTAAAGCTCCCCAGGTGATTCTAATGTGTAGAGGGAGGTTGTGAACTGTAGAAGGATGGAGGCAGTGAGAGACCATTTTTCAAATTATTGTCAGTTGTGAATTCTATTCGCAACGGTTTTCTTAGGGCAATGTCTCGCAGATCATTAGTTAATAGTGTTCAATAAGACCCTTAAATTGTGAAAAGAAGCCCATTAGCCTTTCTGACAAATGTTCCATTGAAACTGTCAGAGGTGAGATTCTTCCAGGTAAGTCTATCAAGTGTCCTCCAAGGCCATCACTGTCCAGGAAGACGAAGGAAGGGTTAGAGGCCAGTAAGTTGGGTTTCTGTTTAGTGCCCCTCGGCACTGGGTAAGTCTAAATGGGGACATATGTCTTGATCAAAGGTGTCAGCTATCAGCCTGGCCTCACCTCCTTTGCTTTCTCCTCTGCTCTTAGCATCTGATGTAGTCGTGGGTCCAGCTGCAGGCTTGGACTCGTTCCAGTTCACGAGCTGATCAGAACAAAGTATGTCAGAAGCTTTGGCAGCTCTCACACTTCCCACATTTGAAAGCTTTAAATTAGTAATAAATAGTTATTAATAACTAGTAGTCATAATTAATATTTCATACAATAAATATGAGTGCTAAGCCCTTGTAAGTTTCCCACTTTCACTCACTTTCCACAAAACTCTTTTGCTCCCTAATAGATCAGTTTTTCAGAGGCCCTAGAGGTGATGCAGAGTCTAAGCCTCACTTGCCTTCCTCAGTTGGCCCAATTTGCAAGAACTGATCTGTGCTACATAGCCACCCCACCCTACAACCTGGCTCCTTAGAGGAGGGGCTAGCTGGGAGCCCCGGCCAACACTTCACCCACCTCTCCTGGGATCGACTCCCACAGCCGGGCTCCTGAGTGCCGCCCTCTGTCTAGATTCCTCAGTACTGTGGTTCGATCTGTGGATGCCCCAAGTCACGGCTGAGCCGGTTTTCCCCCTCATCTTCTGCTTTATGCAGTCTTGCTGTCATCACCATTTACCCTTTCCAGCTGAGCCACTTCGCATCAGCGCCCTGGCCCCTTGCTCTAGGGCAGTGTGTCTCATTATTCCGTGGTCCTCAACCATTTTGATGATTTTTGGCATTTCCTTGCAACATCTGTACTATTATTTGCTTAATAGTTTTCCTTAAATTGTCTTGCTTTAAAACAATAAAACAAAAACCTATTTTGCTTTGTCTAGGCAAAAACAACGTGAAATCACAGGTTTGATGTTATTTTTATCTTCCCCTCTTACACATTAAAATAAATCTGTGACTATGAACATAAAATGTTTTTATGGGAGTCTGTTCACTCCTATCCCTGCCCTTCCCACCTGTCCTGCAAGGATCCCTTGGATCCCATGGTGAGATATAAATACTTACAAGTAATAAAACTCCTTGCTACTCCATGCCAAGTACAACACTTGTTAAGTACAAAGGGAATTTCATTGATAACTGAATACAATCAAAGCCAATGTGACGTGGTGGTGAAGAGCACAGACCCTGGCAATGACCTGAACTCCAGTCCAGCTCTGCCCCCTCCCGTGGCCTTTCCTCTCTCTCAGTAGTTCAGAGCACTGCCACAAGGGTTGCATACATTAACAGGTGTTCCTGACCTAGAACAGCTTTTGGCCCAGGTAATTGCTATGTAATGTTGGATATTATTAGAAGCTGTGCGCTTTGGCAGTGGAAGTCTAAAAAACAAGTAGTCCATAAGAGTACAAGGCATCCTTTCCCTTGAGAAAAAGCTGGCAAGGGAATCATAGGAATGTACTCATATTTATTTAATCTTGTGGCCAGTCCTGCATGTATTTATTACATCAGTGTATTAGGGCTCTGTGAATCCGGTGAGTGATACAGAACACTGTGTGATTCAAAGTGGCCTCTGACTTACTGCAAATTGGGTATTCTATGCAAATTTGAGGATAATACTTCTCCCCTTTCATTCTCAAATTCGTGTAGTTTATTTTTATTTGAAAACTGAATATTTTCACTTAGTATCGGGAGCTGTGCAAAGTGTATGTGTCTGTGCGCATGCAATATTTTGAAGAGGCTTTCTCTTATTAGTATAGCAAATAGTCCTAAAATAAAATACAAAACTGTTAAATAAACTAACATGTTTTAATCTGTTATCACAGCTGTTTCCCAGGTCATAATAAGAACAGCATTTTTTTCCTATTTCTGTTTTGAAATAACTCCAGCATCAGCTACATTACTGTAAAATGTCTTTATTGCATTCAATTGATCAACATTATCAATTACCTTTATGAGGAGTGACAAAGGAACAGTAAAGCTATATTTGAATAAAACATTTCAATTCTAATTTTGAAATTTAATCAGAAAAAATATATTTTAGTACAATAATAATCCATTATATACATATCATCATCCTAAGGCTGTCTCTGTTAGGAAAACATTCACCAATGTTAAGAAAAGGTATTCAGCTGATACTGGAAAACAAAATTCTCTTAAAAACAATTGTATTTTATTATTGCAATATTGTAGATTTTTTAAAAAGCTGTAGATGATATGCTTTGGATATAAAATGATCAAAATTACTTCCTGAAGCTATTTTAACAAGCTGTAAATCCTAAATTAAAATCTTATGAAATGACTCAGGAGATAAGAATGTAAAGATTTCTTCCTGAAGCTATTTTGATAATTTCTAAGAGCCAAATAAAAATCTGTGAAACTCCCTAATATGGTCTAGTGGGAAAAGGTTAGAATGAGAACCAGGATTCTTGACTTCTTCTCGAGCTGACAAGCTAAATGGACTTAGCTCATGAGCCTTCATGGTCTCCAGTTTATTTATTTGTTCATTTGGGACAGTCACATTCCAGACCTAATTCTATGTGCTGCAGTGTCCGTTAAAATGCTGTGCGAAATTTCCTTATACTATCGAAAAATTTCCAAGCCATAATTTCCTCATTTTTACTATTTGTTATATGAGTATTTCTGTGCATACGAGATAAATCTCCCAACTCATCAAGAGACAGCTGCCAATTCATGTTTCACTGCCTGCATGGACATCAATATTACGTTGCACCCAGGACTGTTGTTCAAAAGTCGTCATTGTCATAGCTAAAGAATGGACTACCCGCATCTGAATAACTGATTGTGGACCCCAGTCCAGACGGACACGCTTCCCAAGTCTCTGCTCCGTCTGTCCTGGAGGGAGCTGACTCTTGAGGAAAAGCCAAAGTGGGTCTGATGGCCCTGCAATCTCCTGGAATTTTCAAAGGCACTGGCCCTGCTGGAGAGGTTGCCCTGGTGACTGCAGCTGGAAGGTCCAGGGCTTCTGGGTAGATGGACATTGGGGGGTTTTCAGAAGCATAGTTACAGCTCGAAAGGCTAACTTCCCGCACGCTGTCACAGTATTTCAGAGCAGGGGGCTGGTAGGCCTGGTAGGACACTTTGGTGGTGGTGGTGATCACGGTCTGCAGGGCTGGAGCACCTGGTGGGGGAGATGTGAGGTACCTGCAGGGGAGCTCCGGGTTATAACAAGGGCGAGCGGCCACGGCCGGGAACTGTCCATGGTCAGTCCTCTCTCCAAGGCCAGGTTTTCCAAGAGCTGGTTTCCAGCCATGTTGTTTACTGGTGAAATCAAAGCTCCTCTCGAAGTTGCTGTATGAGTTGACATTATAATGTAATGCATTCAGGTGAACCCAGTCTGTGTCAGTAGGGATACTGCTGGAATCTTTATAAAGGGTGGCATATGGGCTCGAATTTGTGGAACCAGGGCCTGCCAATTCATAGCTGCAGGGTGGCCTAGGCAAATAGATTCTTGGCTTTGGATGTTTCTGTAAGGGTGGCATTATGTCTCCTTGAAAGGTGGTGAGGTCACAAGTGGCTTTGTAAGCATCAGAGTTTGGAAAGGAAAAGCCAGGCTGCCCTGGAGCAGGGAAACCAGTGTCAGTAATCATATCAAACTCTTCTGGATTTTCCAGGGGAGGTATGCTGTTGAAATGTCCACTGTTGTTTGGATTCACTCCTGCCTAAAAAATGAGGCAAATTTTTATTTGTAAATAAAAATGAAAGTTGCATGGGCCCCCTCACCTGTAACAGTAGCCAACCAACCAAACAAAAACAAGCTCCCCATTGGTGGGTTCTGTGTTATGGGCACCATGCTGCTCAGGTACATGATTTGGGCATGTGGTATGCGCATTGCATAGCTTGAACTTGCTTAGGCACAAATTCCATGCTGCCAAATGAGGAGGGCTCACACTGGCCAGGAAGGGTGTGTCTGAGTGGCAGATGGTCCTTTTCCCTCCAGTAGTATGTTCATAATAGCAGAGACTCAGGAGCCTGACACAGGCTTGGGTTCAAATCCTGACTATCCCTCATGAATTGAACAAGTTACTTAACCTCTCTGAGCCTCAGATTCCCATTTCAAAATGGGTCTCAATGGTAGTAACCTCCTCTTAAGGCTTTTGTGACCATTTCAAGTGTGAAACTCAGACCCCATGCGCCTGACATATAGAGAGTGCTCAAACAATGTGAATTTCTCTTATTCGCAGACTAACACTCTGCCTGCTTGGCATACTTTGGTTGGAAAGCCAAACTGGATCAAGTTGCCCAAAGAAATATTTTCTGTTCTGTGTAAATAGTGTAAAGGACCCTCTCCGGATGCACCCTTAACTCACCGTTGCTACACACGTATTTCTTTCTTTATGACCATTGGATAATTGCCTTTGTATTAGGATGTCAGCCCACATCCTCTCTATATCATTGACTGTAGAGACAGTTTGCTTTTTTTTAAGAAGAGATTAGAAAACTTATCCAAAATGTTGATTCAATGACATTTGTTAGAGATATATAATTTTCACATAAAATCAAGCATTTCTAATTAGTGGATGACATTCACATTTCACACAATTATCAGTGTATTTTGTGATGAAAATGAACACAGACCACAGTGTAATGTCAGCTCCCCATTACCTCCAGTTCTCGAATTCTCTTTTTCTGAGGTTGGTAAAAAGAGGCCATTTGTCTCTTGAGGGCACTTCTTCTAGCTTCCGTCTCTGATTTACTCTCTGGTCTTGGGTGATCGTGAACTCCCTTAGCCTGTATTAACAAGGAAATGAATCACATATGTGTTCCTCTGAAGGCAGCTGGCAATGTTGGGCAAAACTGATTATGCCTTTCCCAAGTCTTTTGGGAAAATGACATGGGAAAAAATTCTTGAAATAAAAATATATCATCGATAATAGACATCTTAAAAGATTACCTGACAGTCCTCTCACCATATGAAAACAACACTCACTGTAACTGGGTTCCCTCTCCCGCCCTTAAAGCACATGGTAGGTAAGCTAATTCCTAGGAGCCTGGGAAGGCCCTGGGAGCCCCCGCACCTATTTCTGGCCAACAGCGCTGTATTTGGTTTGGTCCAGAGTTCCTAAGGCACGTGGCAGGTGGTTTGGTCCCTACGAGGGATGAAAATATCATTACAAACTGTGGTGTCCTCCCACCTACTTGGAAAAATATGGCGTTGCCCTCAAGCCGCCAGAAGTTGGTCACAGGGTACCCGCTGTGCCCTCGACAGGGAATCAGTTCCAAAGCAGAATGACAGTTGGGGCATGCTTTCTCTGCAAAGCCAGAGGGGAGAAATATTAATAACAACCCCGACCCCAGAAAGGGGAAATTCACTGGGAATAGGGAACTCATGGCTGCAAGGCCACCCACCAGGGGCCCACACCCACGCGCGCGCTCACTCTGCTGCTTCAGCCGCGCCTTGTCGCAGATGGCCGGCCGCAGCTGCAGGCGGGAGCCGTCGGGCAGCATGCAGGCCCGCGCACACACCACCACGCCCAGGCACGACTTCTTGAGGATGTGGCCGTTGTGGTTGTTGGTGTTGCGCATGGCCCATCCACTCAGGTGGCGCTGCGCCTTCTTCTCGTCGCTGCGATAGATGAAGCGCACGTAGCCATCCGGCCACTCGCAGAAGTGGTCAAAGTGGGCTGGCTCCTGGAAAGTGCACAAAAGGATGGTTGGTCAAGGTTATCAAGCACAAATCCAACACAGCACGCTTTTAATTTTCCCCAAACACGTTAGAACAAAAATCGGTTCTTTTTAGATGCAGAAATGTTGTAAAACTCAGAACCTACGTTGTCACAAAGTGACCCTCATCCTGTCAGTGTACAGCCTTTCTGATAACTGGCTAATAATTGATGTATTTATGATGCTTATCTTCTAAATGCTGTCTACGTATCAATTCACCTATACTTCATAACTCACACAGACAATAAGTACTATCCTCATCCCATTTTACCAAATAGAAAATGGAGGCCAGAGAGGTTTATGGAATTGCCCAAGGTCACACAGCTGGTAAGACCTGGCTATAGGATTTGAGCCCTAGCAGTTTGACTCCAGGCCTGTTCTCCTTACCACCATGTTTAAACGTTGAAAACATTTTCAAATTAAGTAGCCAAGTGCCAGGGCAAAAAGTGATGGGAAACCTCTATCCCCAAGATGCAACTGAGGCTGGAAAGATCTTTTCATCAATTCAGTGCTTTTTCTTCAAATGCTCTTGGCTCTATCCCAAACCTGTTGGTCACATCAGCAGTGATACCCAGAGCAATATCAGAGGCAAGAACAGCTGCCCTCACTCCTCCCATCTTAGCTTTCCAAGTTTACAAGGGCATCGCAACGCAGGGCCTGCCCATCAAGGTCAACGGAGCATTGAGTGCAGACTGCTGGGCACCAGACCTCACCTCAGAGCAACGTGGATTGTCGTTCTCCCCAGCAAGGAGCCACGTGGCGGAAAGGACGACTTCCATCTAAAATAGTGAGCACTGCTTTACTACTCACATCTGGAGGTCTGTGTCCACATTATGCGCTATTTATACTGCAATGTCTTTCTTGTACGTAAATTTAATATAAAATTACCCTCTAGCGAGCGCGTACTCTTTACCCGGTACTCTCTAGGGCAGGCCTTGAGCAACTAGGAACTGTGGGCCAGATCCAGCCTGCCACTTGTTTTAGTACAGCCCCTAAGCTAAGAAGGATTTTTCGTATTTTTTAATGGTTGGGGAAAAAAATCAAAAGAATTATATTTTGTGACACCTGAAAATTATATAAAATTCAAATTTCAGTATCCATATATTAAGTTGTATTGGGGCATGGCCATGTGCTTTTGTCTATGTATTGTCCAGGGCTGTTTTCACACTACAATACAGAATTGAGTACTGGGGACAGAGACAGTGGGGCCCACAAAGCCACATTATGCAGTGTCTGTCATCCTCACAACATCCTTGCATGATGGGCATCCTTACTCTTATTTACTAGACACGGAAGTGGAAGTTAGATAACCTTCTACAGTGACTATGATATAGACAGAGGCTCTGGGGTGGCAGGCCCCAATGGCTTTATGGGAAGAGAGGCTCAGAAGAGTATTTTCACAATAATAAGCCATTTGCACTTTCTCCCCCTCCCACCACCCTAGGAAAATTCAATATAAAAATATTCTCAGTTGGACAATTCAGACTTGTGTACATCATTAGTACTGTACATTCTAACAGTAATAGGTAAATGGGCAATTTTGTTTCCAAAACCATAGGAATATTGTTAAAATCATTATTACTACTAATAGGCATTACTCGTCTTTTCTTGAAATATTATAATGGACAAACTAATACATTGACAAGGTAAGTCACAAATGAAATATACAATAATGTACTATCAACTCTAAGTTTACACCAAATGCAAATATCTTTGTTTTTAAAGTGAACAGTTCAATTTAAGAACTTTAGTAACAAATAGAGAGTTTTCCAGAAGACAGTATTCCTTTCACGCTCCCCTGTAAAGGTACAGACTAGGCCCCCATGTCACATATCAACTACTAAAGGAGTGACACTAAAAATGAAGCCACAGAGACGGTATTTTTAAATCAAATCAAGCATGGAGGACTCCAGGAGCAGGCTTCACTTGCTCTCATGTGTTGGCACATGCGAGCACAGACACACACACACTCAAATGAGCATGCCCACACTGAACACGACAGTAGAACTGGCTGAGAGTTTAAGATTGTTATCTAGTTCCCCCACTTGATGACAGGTGGGCGGCCTGAGACGAAGGCACGTCCAGGAACCGTCTCAAGGTCAAACAGCCAGCTCAGCTTTTCTCCGACAGTCAAGCCAGAGAGGATGAGGAGCCCATGTTCCCCCGGCTTCTCCTTCTGTATCCCAGTGCCCCTGCCTCTTGAGATGTCACATGCTCCCTGCTTCAGAACCAGTCTCCCAAAGGAAAAATAATTCACGTTTGCTTAGGAAGTCTAGAAAATGCTTGAAAGGAGCCATCTTTCCATTATTTAGATGTGTCTCTTTTCTAAAATGCAAGATTTGGGTTTTTTCCTGTGACAATTTATGCGGACAGAATTCAGTGAGGAGTTGTCCTTGCTGTACTGTGGTGCACTTTCACAAAAATGATACAGTGTGACTCTAAAGTAGGCAGACCTTAAACAAAAGAAACTTACTACAAAAACATCCATTTAAAAAATGGTCTCCTCGAGCGGCCACACAACCTTGCTAGTGAACTGCTGCTATCTGTCTGGCATCTATATGGCACATGGTAGATGCTGAATAAATGCCAGGTCTCATCCCCCCGCCACAATGATACCAGAAGCCCACCTTTGCAAAGGTTGGGAGGCCACTCCCACTCTGCCACCACCTATACCCAGGACTTTAACGACGTGCCTCAGTTTTTGGCCCCAAACCAGTATGACCAAACATAACGGCCCAATTCATTCCCTGGACTTGGCACCAAACCGCTTTGTTCCATTAGAACAAAACCAAACAGGGGCTGGCCTGGTGCCTTAGTGGTTAAGTTCCTGTGCTCTGCTTCAGCCGCCTGGGGTTTGTGGTTTGATCCTAGGCACGGACCTACACACCACTCATCAAGCCACACTGTGGTGGCATCCCACACATAAAATAGAGGAAGATTGGCACAGATGTTAGCTCAGCGACAATCTTCCTCAGCAAAAAGAGGAAGATTGGCAACAGATGTTAGCTCAGGACCAATCTTCCTCACCAAAAAAACCAAAACACAAATTCATCCTCAAAGCACATCAATTTCCTTGTCACTAGAGAGGTAAGTTCAGAAGTTACATCCAAAATCCAGATTCCAGAGCCTCTCTGGGCGCGTAAGTTCTGGTTAGCAGGACTATGGAGCTTCCCAGGAGCCGACTTCATCTGGGCAGCTGCGGGCGTTTGAATAAACTGCCCAAGTTGTGCTATTTGTTTAAGATTCAGGTGACCGCGATTTACAGTCCTATCTCACAGCTTCGCTGCGTGAGAAGCCGAGGTATCTACATTCAGAAATTCTCCCTCTACCTTTCTCACAGGTTTCAACGAATGGAGAAGGAGAGAATCACCGGATTTCGACCTTGGTTAAAGGAGAGTGAGGGACGAGGCGTCCTGCTCCCGCCTGACGACTGGGAACCCGGAGCCTGATTGACAGTTCCTGCAGCTGTTGGCTGTTTTCAGACCAGTGCAAGGAAAGAGCTGGGAGAAGACAAATCTCTAAGCCAACCCTGCCATTTGTAGAGTCCCTTTACATTTGAGGGCTCTCAGAGATAGGGGGGAGGAGGTCTGTCCACAGTCTCTGCAAGGGCTTGAATGCCATCCCGCTTCTTTGGGTGGACAGCGCCACGCGCGCGCACACCGGTTTCACGCACCTGAGGCATCTGCGGGTCGTTGATGTCCCAACTGAGCTTCATCCCGTAGGAGCACACACAGTCCGCCCTGCGCCCCGCTTCCGCCGGCATCTGCGCCACCTCGCTCGGGCTCTCCGCCAAGAATCCTGAAAGACAGAAGAAAAAAAACAAACCTAGAGGTGCGCAAGGTGATTTTCCCCCCTCTTTATAAAGAAAGTGGAGAGAGAGCGAGAGAGACAGAAGGAGAACTTATTTAGAAATCCATAAGCGGCGGGCAAGGGTGAGGACCCCGGCGGAGCCCCGCTTCCCGGGCGCGGTGCTGACAGGTCACCTCGCAGCGCAGCACCCGCACTTTTATAAAGACACACGTACCCGCCCCGCCTTCCCTCGCTCCCGCGCCGGCTCCCACGCTCCTGCCATCAGCTAGGCCGGTCACCGCCTCTCCGAAAGAACTAGGAACGGAGGGGAAGCTTGATCTGAGCCCTTGGGGTGACGGGAAACTGAAGACAAGATGTGAAGGGGGCGAAGGTGGGGTTGGGGAAGTTGGAATGTCTCATTCTAGTTGAAAAAAAATTGTTATTCTTTTTATGGCGCCATGCAGTTTCGGATTAGGAGGCTTTTGAGACCGGGGCCTTCCTGCAGAGCGCCCTGAGAGCTAACACTCAATTCCCGCACAGAGCGGGACCTTCCCTAGGATCCTGGGCCGCCGCGGGCGCCACTCTGAGTACCTGCGCCCACGCCACCTAGCTCGGGGCCAGCCCGCTCGGGGCCTCTACTCCCGGGCTCCTGCTGTAGCTGTCGTGCGTGTCCGGGAGTCTGTGCTCGTTCTTTTTTGTTTTTTGTGGGGTAGGGGACGGGAGTGACGTCCAAGGAGATGCCAAAGGCGCACGCATGCTCCCGGGGGCTGCGGAGAGAGCTGCCCAGTGGGAAGAGAGTCTGGGAAAGTGAACTCGGAGAAATGGGGGAGATGAGCAAGGGGGAGGGGAAGAGGGAGGCAGGAAATGAGATTTGCGGCTCAGGGTTTCCGATTAAAGTCCCTTTCACATGGTTGCCACCAAGGTCTGGGAGGAAATGGAGAGACGCGTCCACCCTTCCCCTACCGGTTTCATCCCCAGACTCTCAGAGGATTCACCCACTGCCCGAGGGCCTGGCAACTCCTGTCATTCAGTTGCTTTTGATTTCCAAACGTTAAAATTATGACGCTCTATTTTCGTTTTTACAAATCGATATTTCGTTAATTGCGATAGTTTAAGATAATGTATATTTTGAAATGTTTTAATATAACTTCAAAAATAATTTAAAATCACCTCTGAGAATGCATAGAAATTAATTTCTGGTCTTATTGTAAATCTTGTTAGAATATATCTTGTCTCCGTAATTTTGGGATGTTCCTAGACATTGCTTACCATTCAACAATATACATAAGTACGGTTTTTTAATGTTAAAGCCAAATTAATCATATACGTTTTTCTAAATGGATTCTGGTGTCTGAAGAAATATGTAGAATCTCCACCGTATTTAGTTTGAGAAGAATTAGGATATGTATCCCAAGTCCTCCTGAATTTATGTCTGGGTAAGACACATGAGTGAAAGAAGCTAATTAAAGTGGAAACGCAACAAAATAAAAATAAATCAGCGGGTTTGTTGTTTATTATAGCTTTAACTTCTCCTGAAAATTTGAATGCATTAACAACCATCTAGTTTGGAAAGACATATTTTCCCCCAAATGTCTGAAAATAATTGATTATAAAGTTATCTAATAGTAAGAAAACTTTAATTTTATTATATTTTATCATACTATTTATTTTATATTCTTATATTCTAAAATAAAATGTATTTAAACTGTATTTTGATTATTGTCATTATCCTTCGATTGACCGCTGCACTAACGTTTGCGCTGATTCACAACACTCAGTATTCACAGCTGGCTCTTCTTGACTACTATTCTTATGTAAAAGCCCCTTAATTCAAAAGCAACGGAAGAAGGCTTTGAATTGACTAGGTTTAGATTAGATACATTTACGTAGGTATATTTGCATCATATTTGCCAGGAAATGGTTACGAGGAACTTTGAAATAAGGATCATTTTGGAGGTACTGGCGCACAGTCCTGTGCGGACCAGCAGAGATTCTGGGTAGATTATATTTTGCTTCGATGCAAACAAATAACTTCTGTAAACGACATGACACGAAATGTCCGTCACATCTAATTATAATACAAGTTGATTTTTACACAAGTTATGTTTGGATTTGAGGGGTCGTTTTGTTTGTTGGTTGGTTATGAAAACTCCAGTCAAAATTATTTTTGCCACAGTGTTCACACAACAGTGACAACATATCGGGCGGCCCAAGACCGTCCTTTAGTACACGTTCTTGTCCGGTTAAAGGAAGTGGGCAAAAAACAAGCAAACTGGATGATATTTCTTTGCTTTTTGTTTTGTTTTGTTTTGTTTTGACGAAGTATATCAAGGTATTAAAAAAAAAAAACCTTCTTTGGTGATATCAGGAATAAAAGTCACAATTTCAGGTACCAATCTGGTTTCTACGGGGGAAGTTCAGATTCAGTTTATACCAATATCGATGGATCCAAAACAGCTGGACAAGCTGTTAAAGGTGGAGAGAAAACTGCCAACTTCCGCAAAGGGGACGCCTGTCAGTTTCCAATTTCGCATCTAAAGAAGATATAAACGAAGTTGCTCACACCCTTCTGGTAAACGCTTTCTCTTAAGGTGTGTGGGCGTGCGCCCGGGTTTCCAGACCACGATTGCTAGTTACTTGCAAGTGAACCTTGCGTCTCACACACAGTATTCTAGTCGATTTTAGGGGCGGGTTCATCAATTAGAGTTCCCGGCGAAGATCGGAATCCCGGAGCCGCGGGCTGCCCGGGCCCTCGGCGCGGTGCATCCCAGCCCGCCCGGGCCTCGGCGGCCCAACTGCAGGAGGCTGAGCGCGGCGCAGTGCGTGGCGCGCCCTGGGCGCGGGTGCACGGCATCCGGCCGGGAGCCTCGGCATGCAGGCGGTGAGTGACCCCCGGAGGGTGGGCAGGGTGGCCTCCCTGCCACCGTTCTAGTGGGGCACTGTCCGTGGGCGCTCATTCTCGCGTGTACCACTAGAGGCTGGACGCGGCTACAGTCCCCCCGGCAGCCGAGGGAACAGCCCTTCGGAGGCCCTTATGGGTGCTTCAACCTCCTTAGGTTTGCTTGGAGTTTATTGGCAGCTTTCAGCGACGTAACAAGGCAGGATAGAAACCTCTGGTCCTTGCTAATAAAGCGCTCAGGAAGGGAACACTGGAGCGTTAATGCTAGAAGGCAACGAGAAAGTTCTTTTCAAGTTGCGCGGACTGTTTCCCCCCTTGCTTCTACAAAGTGCGTTGACGTTAACCCACCTGGGCCCAGAGCTACGGTCCTGAGCGCTGGGACATCTGCTGACCGCGCGGCGAGGGATGAACCTTAAGACGCCCGCGGCCCCGGGGTCGGGGAGTATCGGATTGGCACCGCCAGTGCTGCTGCTTTTCAGCATTCGTTTAACTGAATACGCTTCTGGTGAAAAAAAATAAGTCTGAATTTGGGTCTTTGAATTCACCATATTTTTTCGTATCTATAAATAATGATAATACTGTAAAATATGCTGACAGTCAAGGATTTTAGTCAAGTACTTGTAGACGTGGAACTGTTAGTCCAAGCTAGATTTTTTTTTTTAAACGCTTTAGAAGAAATTTTTTAAGAATATTTTTTGTGTATTATACTTTTCAATTAAATTGTTGGGGTGAAGTGAGCAGATGAGAGGCTGTTAACATAGCATAATGTGTTGTGAAAACCAGAATGGTATACTTAGGGGTCACTTTTGAAGAAAATGTGTAACAATCCACTAATTTTTTTGCAAATTATCTTCTGGTGGTTGTTGATCCTTGAAGTTTCAGTGTCAGTCCTGGCGTCACATTTAAAATTCGTATACATCAGAAATATAAAGCTTAAAATCATGACTGGGCTTGAAGGACATTTTTTAAAACTTTATTTTACAAGCTTTCATTCTGAAAACGGTTCATTAGTTAAAAGCTTCCTTTCCATTTTATAGTCATCACTATGCAGTTTAAAATTGTCTATTTTGTGTGTTTGTTACAATGATCTTTGCTGCTTCTGATAATTTGTCACAGTGCTAAAGAAGGTTGGATAAAATTTTGGTTTTTTTTCAAAGTAGTACCTTCTTAGACCTGTAATCCATGCCATGAGCAAACAAAAACTATTTGTTCAGGAAAACAATATGAACCTTTATTTCTAAAACTTGAAATAGATTTCTTTGAAATAAAAATTTTTTTAAAAACATCTTTTCACTGTGCACAGGAAAAGGAAGGTCCTTTGCAGTCTGCTAAGGAAGACGATGGGAGTGGAATGGCCGTGGATGCTTTCTACGTAAAGACGGAGTTTATTCTGTGTGTGTGTGTGTGTGTGTGTGTGTGTGTGTACTGTTTCAAGTTGTGAGTTCCCCGGGTGATCAGGACAATTGTTCCTCCACTGCAGACCAAGGCAGAGGGTTTGGATTTATTCTGAGTCTAGAGAAGCCAGGCAGCAGCGTGAGCTTCTGAGTCAAGAGCATCTGAGTGTGACTCAGATTGTGAGTGATCTTACGCCAGTTCTTACCCTTTCCCAGCCACCTTGCCGGGATCATCTCCAGATAAAGACGCTAACCTCTCATGGTGGTGGCCAGGGTTAAAGGAGGTGGTCTGCAGAACACTTACCACACTTGGCACAAATAGGCTCACTGTGTGGTGACTCGACGAGGAAAATGCTCTGTTTAAATGGAGTAATTTCAAATGCTGTCTCCCCACTTAAGTCAGTACTAAGTGGAACTTTGGGCTGTATACAGGCAAATACCTCTATTAAAATAATATTGTATATTGTAATTTAGCCTGTAGGATTGGACTGGATATTTTTAAACCAAAAAATCGTATCTTTTATCATATAGATATTTAGGGAAATGTCTGTTATTCAAGTGTACATACTTAGAAGTATGTCTTGCCTAATGTTCAGGCAGAAAAGATCAATTTCAGTCATTAAATTGCATGAGAATGCAAACTCATGGCAATTTGCGTATTAACTTCTATCCGTAATTATTAGTGGTGAATGCATTTTCTTCCATCTATGATGATCATGTATGTCACTTAATGAGTGATAATAGGCTTAGAATTTTCTAGTGTATTAGAAATTCTAACATTACTGAGGATAGTCTCTTTACCCACAGATATCTGTAATTCCAGTGTAGTTTTCCTGAAGTCAGAGGTTCTTGAACTTTAGCATCAGAATCACCTGAAGGGCCCCACCCACCAGAGTTTGAGTCCTAACAAGCCCCCAGGTGATGCCTATGCTGCTCGTGGTCCAGGAACCACGTTTTGCGAACTACTCTCTTAAGCCAACCAGCTCAATTGGCTCCGTGATTATTTACTTCAAGATATAACTCTCTATTCTGTATTTACCATCTATTATTTCCACACCAAATTATTATTGATAATGATAGTTAGAAATGTTGTTATGAAATAAATGCCCTTGGGGAAAAAAGTAATTTGCGAACTATCAACTTTCCAGCTTCAATCGCTTATTACTGATGCTTTCCATGATAAAGGATTTCAAAAAATAGAAGAGTATTTTCAACAGAGAGAGCACCACATTCCTCAAAAATATAATCATCTTCTGTTATACCGTCTTGACAGATCAATAAGCAAGGCAAGTAAATGGTTTTGCTTTGTGACCAGGATAGCAATGTGTAATTATTTGTAAGCCTTTTAACTTAGTATGGTCTAATACCTAGGAACTGGATAAAAATGAGTTTCGGAATGTTTCACTGTTGCTGAAATGTATTCAGCGCTTCCTCATAGATGGCCTCAGAGAAGATGAGCCTCTGCTAGTCCAACAGAGACTGATCCCAAAGATAAGTGTCAGGTTTTGATTTTGTGTCGCTTTGAGTAACTTAAGGAACTGGCTAATTAAATCTGACATTCTGTTCCTTTGAAATCAAATTTGAAAAGAAATTGGCTCCAATGCTTGTTGCCTATGTCCAATCAAAAATTAAGTTCCACGTGTTTCCTGATGTCCGTGCTGGGCAGGGCACTCTGGGAGTGTACAGGAGTGAGTGAGATCCAGCCCGCTTCTCCATGTGACGAGCCAATGCAGTAACAACGTGTTTTTATTATTTTAGTGAATTTGACTTGGAAATATAGGATGAGAGGGGAGTAGACTATGCCACACTCCCCTCCCCCAACAACGGCTCTATAACTATTTTAATAGACTTTATTAACAAGTTTGGATCTAGATAAATTATCAAATACTTCCCCTTGCTACAGCTCACTTTTCCAAGTTTCTAAATCCCAGTCAAATCTGAAAAAACAAACAGGAAAAACATTTTTTGCTTATTCTAAGTCATACCCCAGGTATGAAGTTCTCTTCTGCTTTTTAATTAACCAGAAGGTAACATCATGAGTGCCTTTATAATGGCATCTGGAAGCAAAGCAGAGTTTGCAAAATCTCTTGCCTCCATTCTCCTCTTTTCATGATGAGATTTTTGCAGCCCTGAGACGATTTACTTATTGGTGAGCAGATCGGGGGAGGTAGAGGGGCAGAAGGGTGATCTGGCTGGTAATAAAATCTTTGATTTACCCCCCAATACCTGAAGTTTATTAAGACCAGGTTGGGTCAAGGAGATGCGTCTCTGCCTACCACAGCATGGTGTGCCAAGCTGTGCTGTGTCTGCACCTGGGATCTGAACCAGCGAACCCGGGGCCGCTGAAGCGGAATGTGCGCACTTAACCGCTGCGCTACCGGGCCGGCTCCTATTTTATCTTTTTAACAGGCAAAGGCTATTTATTCAGCACTTGCTATAGCAAAGGAGCCAGCTACCATCACTTGAGTTTTGGCAGAGACTCAAAGGCAGGCAGAGGAGTGGAAACGGGGAAGGCTTCGGGCAGGGAGGCTGCTGGCCTGGGGGCAGCTGTAGGTGGGCCAGCTAGAAGTGGGGTATCTTATCTAATTGGCTAGGGGTGCATATTTGGCTTTCTCTAGTTGGTCCTAAGTTGGAAACAGGGACAAAAATGAGGGAAGCTGTCAGTTATTTATGAAGTCCCTCTCAGGGACTTTAAAAGTGTTTGCATGGGAGGTCTAAGGACTGTCCTTATGCAAACTGTATATATTTCATTTGGCATTTAGCCTCACCTAACTCCCTGATATACTTATTCATGCAGAGAACAGATAAAACTGCAAAAGAAATGGGGCAGGATGTCCCAGGGGCACCTTAAGCTTATTTTTGAGGGGGATGAATTGGGGTCTCCCCCAAGCTGAATTTCCTCTTTAGATTTAAGAATACCCTCTCAAGGTTTAAAGTGTCAGATCAAATTTCCGTATTCCATTGGAATTCTAGTTGATGACAAAACACTTATAACCATCATTTAGACACATTCTAAAGCGTGTAGTATTATTTCATGTAGGTTTTGGCCAAGGAGAACAGATAGATATTATCAAAGTGAATGGGATACTAGACTCCATGCTTTTAAAGCCAATTGTGTTTGCAGACTCAACACAGTGTGCTGGGAAGTCAGTTCAATAAAATAACGTTTTCCTATAGGAAGGAATATATTTAGTCCTGTGGGATTAAGCAGCTTGTCCTATACCATATGCTTAATGAATAGTAGCTATTGCATCTATAAATATTTCATCTGGCTTCTGGTAATGACACAGCTGTGAGGGCAGACCATGTATGATCCTTGCACATAAATGGGTTCAGAGAGTGACTTCCTACTCCACATCTTGATCACATAATGTGGCATTTCCCCCACTTGTCTATATTTACACTCAACCAATATATTTTGGTGGGCTGGGAGGGGGATAGGATTTGGGGGGATAAATGGAATGGGGACAAAAATGCATCTAAAAGCATAGAATTGAGCATGAACGTAGGCAGGGAGAAAATACTTCCTTCGCAGTGAGTTCTGCTGTATAGAGGGACGTTTCTTCCCTCGGGCTGTTGGAGAAAAGTTTGCTTCAGGAGGCGCGTGATTCAGTCTAATGCAAATATTTGTCTGATTTGAGATAAAAGAAATGTTATTGTAACATAGCTCTCAAGCCTTGTCGTACATTAGAATCAGCTTTAACAAGCCCTACCAGGGTTCCCATCAGAGATTCTGATTTCCTGGCTCTGCGATGAGTCCCAGGCATCGGGGCGGTTCAGAACTCCCCAGGTTTTCCTAATGTGCAGCCAAGGGCGAGATCTCATTGGTTTGTCCATGGTCTTGAGCTGGTGCCTTGGGTTCTTAGCTCTAAAGTGGACGAAGTTTCCAAGGCCTCACTTCTGTCCGAGTTGTTCATCACACACTCATCTTACTAATTTTGTGTTCAACTGATGATTTCTAACTATGCATGAAGGATTTTTTCTTTTTGTAAGAGTAACCAGTGTCAGCAAAAGTGGTCCAAAGGTGGCCTTCACTTTATTGAATAAATACATTCTACGAGGGTTTATAAAAGTTTATTCTAAATCATAACAACCCTAGCAACTTAATGTGAACTTGGATATATGTTCCTATGCAAAAAAAGTCTCCAGTTAGCTAGAAGCTTTTGGCAAAAGAAAGGTAGCCAGGCCTGAGGTGTATTTACGGTACTGCGCAGACTTGTGGAGCACTTTCCAAACTCTGCATCTCCTTTGATAGCCCGTTTTCTACAGCTTCCCGCAGGACGAGACCTCCTGCGTTGGGGAGGCTCATTTATCTCTTAAGCCTCGCTCACTAACCGCCTTATATGGCTTTCTGGCATTGATCCTGGCCAACTCTCCAATTCTTGCTGGTATCTGAGAACTTACTTATTGCAACTCTGTAACAGTGTCATTCCATCCTGGGGTGTTCTAGATGGCCAGGCTTAATTGAAATGTTATGGAACAAAAAAGGTCTTTAAAATTATTCTGCTCTAGTGAAAGAATTAGCCTGACAAATTTTATCAAATAGGCTGTAGTTACTCAGTCATACTGGTATCCATTAGCGTTTCTTCTCTTGTCTACATGGTTTCCTGGTTTGAAAGAACAACAGGATTTCTGACCATGGCAGATCTAGCCTCCGACACATCCCTGGTTAATGTTACAGAAGACTTCTTTGACACGGCGTTGGTAAGGATGGGGGTGGACGCTCCATGGAGCGGATACCATTGGTAATTTGCAGGAATCTTTGAGTTATTTATAAAACTTGTGTTTTTCTCAGATGTGGGTTTTACTAAAAGACTCTCGTATTTTATTATTAGTATATTATGTGAAATAGAAGCAAACGTTAATATACGTAATCAATGTTATAGAAAAATGAAGTGATTTATTTTCATACATACAAATATATCATTCACATGATTGAGGGTGATATGCTGATTTTAATAAAGTGATTGCAGGTCAAATAGGATTTCTCTAAAAATGTTTTTCTACTGTATTTAAAGTCAAAGCCTGCCTGTTAGAGAACTATCATCATTAATGCATTGATGTTATAGTTTATAGTGTTTTTTAAAGATAATACAAGCTTTCCTTTTTCTTTCTGTTTATTAGATTATTTCCACGAGGAGTAGTAAAGGTAAGTGCATTATTTACTACTAATTGGCTATTTACATTTCATTAATAGGTATGGAGAAAAGAATATTTATCTAAATGATATATAGAAGTGAAGTGGGTTTAAATATTACATTTGGATTTATCGACCATCTTATGATAGTCACATTGTGATGCTGAGATGAACTTTGTTGTAAAGTGTGTCCCGGTGTGCCTGAGGGGCATTTTTGTTTAGCTGGTACTGTCACCATTTGGCTACTTGGCTCCATCCAGAAATGGAGCCACTTTTGTCATTCCAAACCAGCAAAAGTTTAGCTACTACTGATTTAACTTGGAGCTGATTCAGATGCCTATCTCTGTTTTTTAAGAGTGTAAAGGGTAAAATTTTAGAAAATTAGGAGGTTAGAGCGATGATTTTGTTCAGTTTAGCTCAAGTTAAAGGTAATTCAACATTTTGAATTATGAAACCGTAAGTTCAAAGATTCACTTACAATATTTGAACATTTCTGTAATTGGGGCCATCTTAAAGTGAGTATGTCCTCTATTGTCCATCTTTTAATTTTTCTTTTGAAAAGCTGTTATTAAAGTAACACTACATTCTACAATGGATGGTATCTTGTAACTGAGGAAATTCAGTACTGGAAGCTTAAGAATGCCTGGTGCTTAGCTGATTTGTGAAAAAGGTCCCCATAATCTAAGCCAGCAGATCCAAATACTTTCAAGTCAATTTTTTATGAACTTCCTAAGTGATGGCTACTGTATCTAAAATCGGTTAGTAGTAAAAATTACTTTGAATTTTGTAACATTTAAAAATAAGCTTGTCTTTTATTAGTTACAACTGTATATATACACTGCGTATTTGAAAAAAATTACATATGGGAGAGATCTAATCAGTCCACAGTTGTTGTTTGGTGCATGTACAGATTCGCATAATCCTTGTAATAACTCCATTGCTCGGCGTGGAGGAAACGCTGCTCCAGATGACTCTATTGGCTCGGGCTGCCATCACAAAATACCATGGGCTGGGCGGCTTAAACAACGGAAATTTACTTCCTCACAGTCCTGGAGGCTGGAAGTCTGAGACCAGGGTGCCAGCACCTGGGGTTCTGGTGAGAGCTCTCTGACTTGCAGATGGCTCCCTTCTCCCGGTGTCCTCACATGACGGAGAGGGAGCCAGCTCTCTAGGGTCTTGTCCTATAAAGGCACTAATCTCATCATGAAGACCCCTCCCTCATGACCTTATCTAACCCTGCTTACCTCCCCAAAGGAGCCCATTTCAAGTACCATCACAGGGAGGTTAGGGCGTCAACATATTTATCTGGGGGGCGGGGGGCAGAATTTAGCTCATAGCAATGACGACTTATGCTTGGAGCCCACTCTGACCACCTCGGGGGCACTGGCCTCTTTGCAAGTGTCAAGTTTTCACATGTGGCCTCTGACAGTCGTTTTGCACGGGTGTTGATAAGCCCAGGCTCTACAGAGCTGAAGTTTAACCTCTCTCTCTCAAGTGCAAGGATGTTTTCTCTGACCTCCTTCCCACATCCTCCTGCCACTGATAGAATTATTCCTCCTTTTTAGGCCAAGATTTGCCATCTTACTGTATGTGTTTTCCATTTGTAGGATTCTTTTGCTTTGTGCTTTGCTGGGTGGATTTGATTTTCTTTCACAATTTCCTCCTTTGTAGTGATTTGAATGGCTCATGTCCTAGTTTTATTCTACTGCTAGTTACTCTTAATTTAATGATCAACATGAAAATGGCAGCACCTATTTCTTCTTTATATAGGACAAGGAATATGGCATGTTTTTATTCCTCCTCTATCTTCTACCCAGACTTCTTTAATCTGGGTAAATTTTAGGGCCCTGTTATGTATCTTTGTAAATAGATTTGCTGTTTGGCTTGTGTTGCAGTCTTATTTACAACATTTATTTAGGGCTCACTACCAACCTGTTTATACCACAATGTCCTCATTCTTGCGTCCTTTATTCTGCTTCATCTCCATCTGCTATAATCTATTTTCAAGAGCGTTATTAGAGTATGAGGCTGGGTCATGGTCAGAGCTTTTTATCATTTAAGAATGTCTTTGTGGCTTTTATACAATGTAACTCTCACTTTACTCTGTTTCATTGCCTTCTAATATTAAGTGTCGTGAGCATGTGCACACGCGTTTGCTTTATGTGGTTTTTGAAGCGCTATTTTGAAATCAAACCTTAATTCAACTCAGGAAATTTTTTTCTTTGATAATTTTGTCAGTTAGAGCAGGGTTGTTCAACTATGGCATTATTGACGGATAAGTCTTTGTTTTAGGGGGCTGTGCTGTACACTATGGGATGTCTAGCAGCACTCGTAGCTTCTGGTTACTATACGCCAATATAGTCCCTCCCACTTCCCCAGTTGTGACAACCAGAAACATCTCCAGACATTGCTAACTGCTCCCTGGGGTAGGGAGTGGGGAATAGGGGGGCAGGGGCAAAAATCATCTCTAGTTGAAAACCACTGAGTTAAAGTGTTTTTGGCATATGTAACAGAATATCTACTTCAAACAGGCTAAAATGATAAAGATGACTTATTGGCTCAACAAACTAAAAAGTCCAGGGACAGAAAGTTTCAGGAGCTCTTTGGTCACAACCATGCTCCGTGCTCTCTAATTCTTTCAGTGCTGCCTTCCTCAGACTTGTCTTCACTCGCAAGTTGGTCTCCCTTGATGATTCCAAGATGGCGGCAGCAACAGAGCTTTGTGCTTCCTGGTTCACATCTCGGGGTGAAATGTTCGCTTTCCACAATGATCATACAAAAGCCCTAGCTTTGCTCTGATTGGATGCCTCCCCTAAATGAACCAATCATTATGGAAAGATGAATGGGATGCCCCCTGCGTGTTTTAAGCCAATCAGGGTCCACCCCTGGAGCTAGCCAGCCCCACCCAATAGCATGACTGCTACATAACAGAGAAGCGGGAAAAGCATGAATGCAATGCACCAAAAAGTCCATTATAGTTAATCTTACAAAGAGAACAGAATAGAAAGAGTTTATCTATTATGCATCCATTGCATCTTTATGGTCTTCATATGCATCTTTCTCTCATTTTTTCCCGTGCATTTTGAGAGTTTTTAAGTCTTTCTTGGAAGCCATTGCTTTAAATTATTCTGTTCTCATTGCCTCCAGTACAGACTTCAATTCTGCTCTTACATCTTTGCTTCCTTGAAACCTGTGGGTGGTGATCTGCCTCTGCTCTCAGATTCATTCCGCGCTCGCTCGCTCGCGCTCGCTCGCGCTCTCTCTCTCTCTCTCTCTCTCTCTCTCTCTCTCTCGCTCTCTCGCTCTCGCTCTCGCTCGCTCGCTCGCTCGCTCTCTCTCTCTCTCTCTCCTTTGTAATGCAGACAACTTTCTTCCCTAGGCTTTCTTACCAACTGGCTTCCTGCTAGGTTTAGCCAATGGCAGGAAATTGGAGGTAGGAGGGAGCAGAGAAGACATTTCTCCCCCTTCCTTCTGCTGAGGTACCATCTCTGAGAGGGACTGCACAGTCCCTGTGGCTCAGGCCTATTTGTGGTTGTCCATTTTGTCAGGTGACCTTGATTCCTCAGATCTGGTAATACCACTTCCTTCCTGTGACTTCCTGGGGAGGAAGTGGGGTAGTAGTGGCCACCTATGGATTTATGACTAATTCCCTGTATTAAATTCCCTCAGATTGAAGTATCTAGAATGGCTTTGATTTTCATATTACGTATTTCTTTTATTTCTCTGTTCTCTATGTTCATCTTAGACTGTTGCATTCTCTTGGAAATCTAATTTTTGTTTCATAGAATTTATGTTCTTTTGAACTTTGAGACAAGCAGATTCCTAAATGTTTAAGTTTCTTGAAGTAAGCATTTCTTAAAAGTCACTTTTCTGCTACCTCTTGACTTACAATACTCCTCTCTTTTTTCATAGGGTTGTATTTGTTAGTTTTTCTTTACTGCTCTTTAAAGAAAAGATTGAATGTCATCTGTTTGCTAATTAACAGGGTATGTAAGTGTCTCTAGGGTCCCCTGCTTCCATGTGGAACACCTGGACCCTGTTAGACTCTTTCTCTTAAGTTTTAAGCTGGCAGGCAAGTTGTTGGTACAGCCCCTAGTCAAATTTCTGGTTTCCAGAGATCATCTGCAGTATAAGTATGGCTTTTTGGGCTGAAGAGGGATGTTTTTTATTTCTACTTCCTGGTTTGGGTTCCTACAATTGCATGAGTTATATGAGGGTTAAAAAGTATGTAATATGTGATTTAAAAACTTGCATATCAAAACTGCACATCTGAACCTATCAAAGTAGTGCCAGGACCTCCTCATGAGTTTTTGCAGTGTATACTACCACTGGCATTTCATATCTTAACATGCATAAATGAAGTCATAAAGGATAGTTTATTGTTTAATAAGCATAAAGTACTACCACGTACCTTGTTTTTTACTATGTACTGACATATATGCAGCTGTTGAAGTTTCTATGATTATGCTATTTAATAAAGACCCAAACTTTATTAAGAAAATTCCTGCTTCTGTTAGCATAAGACCTTATAAAATTTTTATTCTTTAGTTTGTTTTTAAAGATTGGCACCTGAGCTAACTGTTGCCAATCTTCTTCCTTTTTTTTTTTTTTTGCTTTTTCTCCCCAAATCCCCCCAGCACCTAGTTGTATATTTTAGTTGTGGGTCTTTCTAGTTGTGGCATGTGGGATGCCACCTCAGCATGGCCTGATGAGCAATGCCATGTCTGTGCCCAGGATCTGAACCGGTGAAACTGTGGGCCACTGAAGTGGAGCACTTGAACTTAACCACTTGGCCATGGGGCCGGCCCCTAACAATTTTATTTATTTATTTTTTATTATTTTTTTATTTTTTGAGGAAGATCAGCCCTGAGCTAACATCTGCTGCCAATCCTCCTCTTTTTGCTGAGGAAGACTGGCCCTGAGCTAACATCCGTGCCCATCTTCCTCTACTTTATATGTGGGACGCCTGCCACAGCATGACTTGCTGAGTGGTGCCATATCCGCACCTGGGATCTGAACCGGCGAACCCCGGGCCACTGAAGTGGAATGTGTGCACTTAACTGCTGCGCCACGTGGCCAGCCCCTAAAATTTTATTTTTATAAAATACACAATTGTAAGAAACTCATAGAAACTATGGAAAACTGTGTGTAGGAGCTGTCCTTTGCAGTTGCTCAGTCTGGACAAAAAAGAAGCTTTGCTTGAGATTGATCGTCACATACAGCCACGCCTGCATATGCTGCTGCTGATTTCCTCAGTGGTATCTATGCAGTGCGGGTCTGTGTGGCCTGAGGTATCTAGAACTTGAAGCAGGCTCTCATTTGTCCCTTGTCCAGATATATAATTTCTGCAATGTTCACTGCTGCCCTGGCTTTTTCAGTCTTTGCCTCGTCCGGCTGTGTAGCAGTCATTTCCTTATTCTTTTGAGCATCAATTTGATTCTTTTAAAATTATACTTTCAGGGAAAATTCAGATGCTGGATTCCTTCATATTTCCCTTAGGATCTCTGGTGACAGAAAAGACTGTAAATCATTTGATTCAACGGGAGGTAAGGTGCAAATAACAAAACAGATAACAGTTGCTCTGGAACCTTGGAGAAAGTTGTGCATAGGTCTCTGTTTTGTTTCTTCCTCATGAATGCCTCTCTGACTCCAAAAAGGCTTTGAAGACTTTGAACTTCATTTTGCAGGCTGTGCCTCGGGAAGAGAGAAAACAACTCTCCTTGTCAGAAGGCCCGTGTCTTCTTATGTAAGTGATCTTGTACTCGATTATGTGAGGATGTGAGGGCAAAACCTCTCCAGACTGTACGATCTCAATCTTTGTTCTCCTTAGGCCTGATTACTTCCTTCCCTCCTTCAGTAAATACTTTGTGCACCTACTATGGATCAGGCACTTTGTCAAGCCGTGAAGAAGGACTGAGGAAAAAAGCTAGACTCTGCTAACCTCTTTTTTAGTAGTATGTGGTTTTCTTCTTTTTTAAAATCACATTTGTGAGGTGAAATGCTTTCTCAGGCTATAGGTTATTTTTTCACTGCGAGTGTGAACTAAATTAGTAACTCATGGGAGAATGTCAAGGGTACGGACCCTGGAGCCAGACTACTCGGCTTCAAATCCTGGTTTTGCCACTTAAGCTACTTGCATCATTTAGAGCACGGTCTTAACCTCACTGTACCTACCTGAGTTTGCTCACGTGTGAAATGCAGCCAACAGTACCTGACTGAGTTATTATACAGGTTGAATCAAGCAGTCCATTGAAAGTGATTAGCACATTACCTAGTAGAGAGCAAATGCTCCAAGGTTACCCACTGTTAGCTATACCAATAGAGCACGGAGTTTGTACTGCTTTTCAAGTGATGGCTTTTTTTGTTTTATGGTGACCTGGACACAACTATGTAGTTCTGGGGTCATTGAAATTTGGAGGTAAGGTTGTCATGTGTGACCATGGAAAGAGAAAAACCAGCACCCTGTCTTGAAATTTGAACCTAAATATGTGACTGTGTTCTAACCACTAACCAGCATCGATGACCTCACGGGGACAGACCGTCATCCGTGTGATATGCTGCCATGACTGATGAGAGAAAGGCTACCGAGTTTGCGATAGTGTAGGCCTGAAAGAGGTGGTCTCTGAGCCTGGAGCTCATTGCTAGCATATTTGTCCATTGAACTAGTCTTTGCAGGATACGGTTTTTCCACTGGATTTTTCCCCAAAAATATTTATTGAATATGTTAGTGCAGCCATTACTGTTAGCGGTGTATGTAGACTTGGAGAGCAGCTGACCTGATGTTTTCTCCTAAATTTGCAAACCAATCCTATGGTCTTATCTTACTGTTTGTATGTTCTAGAAAGTCTGGAATATTCTGGATTTCAAGTCAGATGCAAAATCTGCAAGCATAAAATAAGGCAGAACTCTTAGTTGTGATGTTTTAAGCCTTCAATTTAATAGTAACAAATTAATCTGCTTACTATGAGAAACTGAATCACAAGATTTCTTAACAAATCTGTTCTTTCGAATGGGGGTTACTTTAGACGTTAAAATCAACATCACACTTGTAACAATTTCAGTTAAATGCTGATACAATAAGGGAGTCTGTTAGCTACAATAATGTGAGAACTTAATCTCATTATGTCTGTAACTTAATCAGTTTTTGAAATCCGTTCAAAAAGCTCATAGGAGAGAGCCACAGCACCCCTTATCATTTCTTCCAGATGTCAAACTATGTAAAAAAAAAAAAAAAAAAAAAAAAGGACACACAACCTCACAGCTGGTAAGGTGATTATAAAATTCCACAATCTTAGCATATCATGAATCCTCAGAGATCAGCAAATTGCATTCACTTTACAGAAAGAGAAATAGAATCTTAGAATATATAGTAGCTCTAGTTTCTTAAACAAAAATAAAAGGACACTTAAGTCATTAATATATAAACTTGAGAAAATTTTTCCATAAAAATTTATTCTTGACATGGAGGAAATTCTGATGCTGAATTTCAAATAAATAATTTCAAACATACACATCTTGGTTTTAAATTTTAATGCCAAAATAATATAGTTTTGACTGTTCATGTTCATTTCAGTAAAACGTAATTTACCTAAATGTTTCAGGAAGGATCTTGCAAGGACAATCTTGACTGTGGGTGGTAAGAAGTGTTTAAAATTTTTCGGTATTAGAATATTAAATATTGGACATGGGGGTTTTATGAGCATGTTGGAAGTATGGGGAATTAATTATGGCCAAGTTGAAAATAGGAATTAGGATTTTATTTTTAATTTATTATGAGAGATTTTAGCATGCTGAAAACAATACAGAATAATTAATGAATACTCATTTGCCAACCAGCTTAGTCAAATTTTATATTTTGCCATATTTGCTTTCAATCTTTTTGAAAATAAATCAGAGTTGCAAGTAAAACCTCTGTGTCCATGTCCTTGATCCCATCCCCTTTCCATTGGTAGAGGGAATCCTTGACTTAGATTTTTTTTTCATTCCTAAGTATATTTTTCTACTTTTTCTCTGTCTTCGTAAGTGACATGTAATACTGTTTTGCAATTTTAAACGTATTCTATAAATTTCATCCTATTGTACATATCCAGTTGCAACTTGCATTTTACCTTTAAAATTACTTGAGATTTAAACACGTTAATATATGTAGTTTTGTTTATATGCTGTGAAATACCACAGTTTATCTTGGAATTTAATCTTTGCAGTGGAAATATTTTTTAAAGGCTGTTTGGACTACTTTTGATGAATGCTTTAATATATCTAAAACATAAAATGCAGAAATACTTATTTTTTAAAAAATTGTTATATGCTGACCTATTTAGATTTTCTCCTAATATTTCTCAAATATTGAATTTAAATGAATATCATTACTCTGGGACACATCTTACTGCTTATAAGACACAATGCTAGTCTTCTAAGATGGAATTTCTTAGAACAAGTGTTAGTTTTGAACTCATTTTTTCTTTTGCTTTGTGCCCAGAATTATTCATGTCTATCTAATTATTCATCTCTAGATTATGACCAGCAGGTTGCTCTCTCTGAAGCGTTGTGTAGACTGACAACGAAGAAGTCAAGGGTTGACCTTGTCCATCAGTGGTTTGAAGATGATGTCATTGCTGAAGCTTTCAAAGAAATTAAGGATCGAGAATTTGAGACGGTGAGATTCCTAGTCATCAAAATTCCATGTAATCCGTACTTATTAAGCAACCTCTCAGTACTTTCCTGTGTTGGAGAGGAATTTTTTCTTAAATGTGATTAAGTTGCCATTCTTAAACTTCCTGTTTCCCACATATTTGAAGCAATTGAGGACAATATGAACAGAAGATTTGTTGGTCAAATATGGGGTTACAGATAGGACTTTATAGGTAACTTAGAAGTTACCTGTATGTAAATTTGATGGATCCAGTCAGAGAAAATGTCATGGGAGGGGGAGCAATTTTCAACAACCATTGAAGGGTGGGAAGAGTTGGAGAAGAAAAGAAAGTACATTTCAGCCTTGCAGGGAGCAGCCGGGGTGATGATGGGATGGTACGCTCTAGTGGCCGAGGAGTGTTATGAGGTGGCTGTGCTGTGAGCCAGCCACCACAGTTTGAAGGGACAGTAATTTCCAGTGTCTTCCATGCGATCTGGGCTCACTGTGATTGTGATTGTGTCCTCAAGCAGCACGAAGATAGCTTATGGCTTTATTGCATACCCACCTTCATCCTAAAATAGCTAAAATGTTCTTCCTCTTTGAAAAAGTTCTTAAAATGAGGGTTAGACACTTGGGAAAAGGTAAAATCCTTAACGACAGTGCTCATGTTGAACAAAGACTTTCTGGTCAAAACTGCTATGAAGCTAGGATTTTATTAAATCCGAACCTTTAAATATGTTAGTAAATATACTGTATTTGACTTTGAGTCTGTTGCCAGATCTGCGGTAGCCAGGATTCAGTTTGGTCTAAATGGAAAGATGGTGAGCCCCAGGTTTGAGTCCCACCTCCCTGACCGACATGATGTATGCATTTTGGCAAGGCAGTTGACTTACAAAGCCCTGGTGTCCTCATCTGTAAAATGGGAATAAAACCCACCTCAGAATTTGGAGAATTAGGGTCTGGCCCAGTGATGTCGTCATTAAGTTTGCACGCTCTGCTTCGGTGGCCAGGGGTTCGTGGGTTTGGATCCCGGGCGCAGACCTACACACCGCTCATCAAGCCATGCTGAGGTGGCATCCTACATACAAAATAGAGGAAGATTGGCACATATGTTAGCTCAGGGCCAGTCTTCCTCAAGCAAGAAAAGATTGGCAAGAGATATTAGCTCAGGGCCAATCTTCTTCACCAAAATTATAATAAAAAATTTGGAGAATTAAGTGAGAGAAACTGAAAGTATCTGGGATGTTATGGGCACTCAGATGTTAGTTTTCTTTCTCCTGTGTCATTTCCTCATTTGCAGGGAAATTTGGTGAAAATAGGAGAAAAGTAATTATCTTGTTTTTCAAATCATCCTCCCTACCCCAGAGCCGTCAGCTTCTTAACTGAACTGCTTTTAGATGAAGTTTGCATTTACTGTTGTCTGTTTAGTGCTGAATATAGACTCTGATGTGAGGACTGATTCCAGTAATCAGCCCTTGATAACAAAAGGAACAGAAGCCTGGATCAGTGTCTCTTTGGCTTTAGAATTTTGCAGGCAACAAATTTACTTTCCTAATAGCTGTTGGTTACGAGAACCCTAAAAATATGCTTTATTCTCAGGACATATACCAAGGGAGAGAACCCAAGAAGGAGTAGGATAGAGAATTACAGATAAGGAATTGGCCGTGGATAATACAGCTGGATAAGCCCAAAGTTGATGAGTTTTATGAGTTTGTGATTGTGTTGTTCTGGGCAGATGTTAGGAGATGGACGCCCAATGGGCTAGTCAAATATTGTGATCTAGGTTATCAGTAATATGGATTTCTCTTGCTTACTCTTCCAACCCAGTGAAACATGATTTTACGTATCACTTTTGGAGACTTAAGCATTTCTCAGCTGAAAATCTCCTGGCTGGGGGATTCGTGCTAGAACATATGTCTGGAGCCTCCTCTTTGTGACACAAAATATTGTTTTAGTTAACATACAATAATGAATCCTTGTGAAGCCTTGAGATTTTACTGGATCCTGGAAATTTAGAAGCAATCACTGGTCTCTACATGCTGGTAAGGGGAGCATTTAACTAAGATATTTGACTTTTTATTAAAATGTTTGCATTATTTGCTTTGAAGGACAGTAGACAATTTCTCAATCATCTAAACAACAGACTTGGTGACCAAAGAAGGTAAGATGTTTCTCTGAGAATTATTGTATTGGCTAATTGTATTCTGAAAATGTCTAATACTAAAAATATACGTATAGGATCTGTTTTAGTTATTTTAGGAGAGAATATAGGATGCATAATTTACTGAGCATTACTGAGTTGTTCATTGAATAGAAATCTCAGAAGATTAGACACATTCTACCCAGTGATTCATTTGTGTGTGTTTAAAAATTATCTCTATCAGTCTTTTAGCATATTTATTTATGGTTTGCAATATTTCTAACATTGTGTCCTCTGGGGAGATTTTATGAAGAGTGATTTCTGATAGACTTGAGGTCACTTGGGATAGGCGTACTATAGACAGTTGAGTCCTTGATGAGAAAGTATTTGCTAACTTCATTCTTTTCATTGGGATGGAGATTTGAAATCTAGTTATAATCTTCATTCGCAGGTTTGAAATCCCCTTCCATACTTTGTACAAAGAGACATAATGGCGTACCCTAGTTCCACATGCTTGCTTGTAGAACATCTGTAGGTTGTGTTTGGGGTCCATCCATATTTTATTTTACTTTTTAATTGTGAGGTGTTTTGCAGGGTCTATTCGTTTCCATGTATGGCTGCTTTTGCTGATGGGAATGAGGTATGTTTGTCTCTCTTGGGGTCCGTGAGGGTGGGATATAATGAAATCCGTAGTTAGGTTTACTTAGGATAAACTGCCCTTGCTACTCAGAAGGGCTTTTTAAAAAAGGAAGCTTAGATTTCCTAGAGGCCCCAACTTGGAAGCTTCTTGTCCCTTTCTCCTGTCTTCTCTCATACCATAACTGGGATGCATTACCAGTAAGTTTAGGGGTCCTACTGTTGCTAGTAGATAAAGGGATTTTAGGGTTTATACTGTGTTCATGAATTACAGGAACCTTGCCTTATTTTGCTCTATTAATGGGTAACGTTATTCATACCCAGATACAGAGGGAAAAGGGCGATTATGCTTCTTTGTATACAGTGGATGGTTCCTACTCTATCCGCAACAAGTGGGACCACTCTCCTTTCTATAGATCATTCTACCTTGTATTTTAAGGTCCAAAATTGAGCCACCTCTTTTCATTCCCTTCTTTTGTTTTTAGAGGAACAAAATTCTTTCTATAAAAGTGCCCCAACCTTATAGCATGTCAACTTTTGGGTAAAACCTTCAGAGGCCTCTGAACCTTCACTCTGTTGGGGTTTCCTGGATCTGTCTTCAGAATGTCCTAATTAACCATTTCTTTGTTTTGGATTCAGAGCATCCTTCTTGGCCTCTGTGAGCTGAACCTTCAACTCATGACTACACTACAAGTTCCTTCTCTCTAGAACTGATTTGGATGGCTTGATTCCTGTATCTCAGTTCTGTCTATTTTTCCTTCTGGTTGTCTGAGGAGTCTGATTGCTGCTTGGCTCTACTTTCGAGGACTTCTGAACTTCCATCAGCTCAATCAGGGCCCTTACACTGGCTTCCAGTAACATGCATTGTGGGTTAAAACCTTCATTCAACTCTATAGCTATTAAAAAGTAGGCATGTATGGTGGAAGGATGTCCATAAAATACTATTTATTGGAAAAGCAGATGGTAGAATAGTAAGTCTAGTGTTTTCTCCATTATTGAGGACTAAAAATTTTTTATATGTACTTCTTGATAAATGTCTATAATACATCTAGGAGGAAACAAAAGCATTATTGATGGTACCTATGGAAAAATTCCTGTGGGAAGTTGGGAGGCAGAGAAAGAGATATTTACTGTTTTTTAAACACCATACTGTTTGACTCTTTCTCTTTTTGTAACTATAAGCATATATTTATAATAATCAATTAAAATGAAAGTAACTTGAAATCTTCAACTCTTAGCTCTGTTCTAACAGATAGTAAGTTAGATGGCAAATCACCACTTATATTTTATAATACCTCCTTCACTACAGGTATCCATATACAGTATAGATTGTTATTTCTTCAACATAGAACTGTTTTCTCTGTGATTCTCACCAGAAAAACAAAGTTTGTGTAGATAGAGTCATCTGACACATTTGAACATCTCTTAAATAGCTAAGGATAGCAAGGTCTTTTTTTTCTAGAAATAGCTTAGTTTTATAAGATTGAGACCTCCCTCTTGTTTTGCAGAAATGAACAAGGCAATACTGAGAGACCCTATAACATTAGGGTAGTCTTATTCTGGGAAAAGCAGGAGTTCTGTTTTTAATGGAATAACTTTCATCTGACCTCTTAACATGATACTTATGTGTATAATTTATGTTGAAATTGTATCTTACAGATGAAAAAACCAGCAGATGAAAAATTAGAGAAATTTTGGATTGATTTCAACCTAGGAAGTCAGAGTGTAACTTTTTATATAGACAATACTGAGGTAATCACGTTTGATTCATGTTTAAGCTTAAGAGCTTAGCGATTGTTCGTATGCACGTATGTGTTATGTGCTCATCAGTTTCGCTTATTGTTTTCCAAGAGCGCTCTGTGGGACTCAATTATACTTTCGAAGGAAGCAGTGATTAATTTCAGCATAATAGGTAAGACGGTAATCCTAAACTACCCCACATTTAGTTCTGAGTATCATTTCTGTTTGTGGTTGTGGTATATGTTTAGTCAATTCTAGAGCAGACTTTGATCATGCCTTGAGATAGAAGGGAGGCAGTGTAGTGTGGTGGAAGGAGCGCGGTGCTCAGGACCAGGATGCAAGGGTGCTGGACTGGTGATTCCTCTGCTTTGTGACTTTGGGGTTCAGTTACTTGCCTGGTTTTCTCATTGTAAAAATGGTTTAGTTCCTCATAAAAATTAAAAGTAGAGTTATCATATGATCTAGCACTTTCACTTCTGGATATACATATCCAGAAGAATTGAAAGCAGGACTTGGAGAAAGATTTAAAGAGAGAACATCCATGTTCATTGCAGCATTATTCACAATAGCCAAGAGGTGGAAGCAACTGAAGTGTGCACTGATGGATGGGTAGATAACAAAATGTGGTATGCACATACAGTGGAATATTATTCAGCTTTAAAAAGGAAAGAAATTCTGACACATGCTACATCATGGGTGAACCTCGAGGACATTATGCTAAGTGAAATAATCTAGTCACAAAAGACAAATACTGTACGATTCCACTTATATGAGGTATCCAAATAGAGACAGAAAGTAGAATGGTGATTACCAGAGCCTGTGGGGAGGGGAAAATGGGGAATTGTTGTTTAATGGGTACAGAGTTTCAGATTTGCAAGATGAGAAAGTTCTGGAGAGCTGTTGTATAACGATGTAAATATATTTGACACTACTGAACTGTCCGCTTAAAAATGGTTAACACCGTAAATGTTATGTTTTGTACCACAACTTAAAAAAATGGTGATAGTACCTGCCCTCTGTCTCCCACAGATTTATAGTAATAATCAATGAGTTTATGTGGGTATGTACCAGCTCTATTTAAATATCATCCCTCTGATTCCTCCATCTTAAACCTCTATCACTCACCTTTTTTTTCCAGCTTGGTATAGACAGAGTTTGAGGGGCATGAAATCAGAGTGATCTTTTCTGGGTGGATACAAGTAACTGGTTAGTTCAGTTGAGCTTTTCAGCTACAACCATACTCAATCAGGATTCCTCAACTGGGTCTTTAAAAAATAAAGGGATGTTTTTGAAAGTAACTCAGTTTACACAACATTTTTAAGTAACTGGGTTTACTGAAGATTTAAAGCTAAATATTATGTAATTATATGAATATTATACTTCACTTCTTTCCACAAAGGATTTAGGTCAGCTTGCATATTTATACCAAAATCATAAAAGTGGAAAATTGGAACCACAGACAAGAATAAAAATGTCTATCATGAAGGCTAATCTAAAATGCCACCATGGGGATTCTAATTTGGTGCTGAGCTTCCTGAAAGCCAGGGTGAAAAGTGAAACATGATCCATAACACGATTCTTATCATACACATCCTGGGGAAAACAAATCCTTCTTAGCCTTGAATTCGAACTGAGGATCCTCCTGTGGGACCACTTAGGATAAGGTAATACTTCTTCAGCCCTGAGTTTCCCCAGCTGGAATTGTTACTGAAACCAAAGTAGGATCACCTCCTGGCGAGTTAAATCAGACTCTACGTCAGAAGCAGTTGTCTCACTAAGTAAAGTATATTCGCAGAAAATAGGAGAAATGAGGAATCATTTCCAAAGTCATGGTGTCCCTGAAGAAAGGGAAGCAGGGACATTTATTTCAGATGGGGAATGAATATTCAAAAGGGAGAGGTGGGTATTCGTTTGCGCTGGCTCAGTTGGAGAACATGCTTCCACATACACTGCAGGTTATGGTGATAAGGCCTAAACTCCTCCTGGAGAGATCTTAGCATTAACAACAAGGCAAAGGTCACAGGCATAGCTTCTGTGGGGAGGCTTGGTCTGGTTCAGGGAGCTTGTTGGTGGAGGTTGGGAGGTTGGCACCTCCTTAACATAACAAATGGAAAAAACCAATCTGGAAAAACAGTTAAATGCTTCCAAACCCATCCTTGAGTTGCTCAGGGCGACCAGTCAGTGACAGAATTTCTTATGTACATAAGTTAATTTCAGCGTTCTGTTAAAGGATAATTTTTGAAAAGGTGAAATCATGACCCTCACACAAACACTAAATGTGAGTTGATTGTTTAATTCATTAATTAACAAGGAAATCAGTAAGATATAATAACCAGTTCAAAGGAGAATTCAAAAAGCCACACATGTATAAGCCATGCTGAAATGAATTTACAGATAGATTGAAGACTAGACAATTGCATTCCACAAACACAATTCATTTGAATTTCTATGGAGAAGATTCATTTTCTTTATCATTAGTTTTCTGCAACTTACAGATTTGTAAAATAGCTCAAAGACAATGAAAAGTGCAGATAACCCAGAAGGGGCTCCTAGACAGGCACCCAGTAATTTTTTGGCCCATTTCAAAATCTTTCACAATCTTCTGTATGTAGTTTTTTCAGTTGCTTGCGAGAAGTTGTTCTGGGGTGCAGGAATTTTGAATTTCTCCTGTTGGATAGTTAGAAAAAGAGGGAGATTTGGGAGAGGGACAGATTAAGCAGTAGAGCAGGTGGCAGGAGAGGAAGAGAGACTTTCGCAGTGAAGCTCGGGGAGAACGAAGGGAAGACAAAGAGAAGTGAGCCTGGATTTTGGAACTATACCTATTGACATCTGAGGAGGCTGGGAATTGAAAGAACTGGGAGAGATGGTAAAAGAAAACTTGTTTCCTTTGCTCACAACACTTCTGACACCAAATGTGTGGAATTTTCCCTCACATTAAGCAATTCTGACAGTAACGGCCTGGAGTTGGTGCAGACTCCACAGGTTGAGGGTTCAGGCCCACAACACTGCCCCCACTTCAGACAGTTATCCCAAGTCCCGGGTTGCCACTTGTACGTCTGACCAACCAGCTACAAATCCGGGGTTCTCACAACCTTCTTGTCAGGTTTGATAATTTGTGAGAGTGGCTCACAGAACTCAGGGAAACACTTACAAGTTACCAGTTTATTTTAATGGATATTTTTAAAGGATACAGATGAACAGCCAGATGAAGAGGTACACAGAGCAAGATCCAGAAGGGTCCCGAGCACAGGAGCTTATGTCCCTGTGAAATTGGAGCACACCACCCGCCTGACACAAGGATGTGTTCATCAACCTGGAAGCTCTCCAAACCCTAGTTTAGGGATTTTTATGGAGGCTGTGTCACATAGGCATGATGGATTATTAACTCAATCTCCAGCCCCTTCCCCTCCCTGGAGGTTGAGGGGTGGAGCTGAAAGTTCCAACCCTCTACTCCTGCCTTAGTCTTTCTGGGGCCAGCTCCCATCCTGAAGCTATCTAGGGGCCTCCAGCCACAGTCTTCTCGTTAGCGTACAAAAGACACTCATTACTCTGGGGAGTCCAAGGGTCTTAGAAGCTCTTATGTCAGGAACGGGGGTCAAAACCCAAATATTAGTAGAAGAAAAGATGCTCTTAGCACCCTTAGCACTCAGGAAATTAGAAGGGTTTTAGGAACTCTGTCAGGAACCTGGGAAGAGGCTGAATATATATTTCTCATTGTCACATATGGCAAGAGATAGCAGTTACATAGTCACAGAATTGGAAAGATGGTGTACGTTGCATTGGAATTATCTCTCATCTGTAGTAAAAGAAAGGGGTTTATAAACATCTCACTAGAAATGTAAACTAAATGTAATCATAAGTATAAATTAAAAGTACTCAATTTTTATAGTGATTACCTGTTACTATTAATTTAAGATACATAAAATATCATTGGCATTTACTCTAAGTCAATATTTTAGAAGGACTTCCATGGATTTTCTGACTGGTACTCTTAGCGCATTGCCTTTCGTAATTTAAGTTCCTGAACTCCAAACTTTGCTACTGTAGCAGTTTTTAAGAACCAACTTGCCAAATTAATATTCTATACTTCATTAATATATCACATTTCCATGACACTTTATAATTTATAAAGTTCCTCACAGTATCTAGAGGAAGTAGATGTTACTTTCTATTTTTATAGCCAAAGAAACTGAAGATTGTTTAGCAAACTCTACAAGTAAGACTAGTTTTGTATGCAAAGCTCTCCTTGCCCAGGAGTTGGCAATGTTTTATTAGCGTGTTGAGTGCTTGGTGCAACCCTCAGGCATTTCTTCTGACCTATGTAGTCATGTACTGGGGATATGTTCTGATAAAGGCATCATTACGTGATTTTGTCATTGTGTGACATCATAGGTTGCACTTGTTACTGAACCAAAGTGGGTCTGCTTCTTGGTGAGTTGAAATCAAAGCCTTCACCAGAAGTAGCTGTCACCCAAAGTAAAATTTATTTGCAGCAAATACGGAGATCCCAGGGAACCCTTCTAAAGCCGTGGCTCCCTGAGCAAGAGAACCTGGGGCATTTTATTTTAGATTGAGAATGAATATTCAAAAGGGAGAGGAGGGTATTCACTTGCGCAGGCCTAGTTGGAAAACATGCTTCCACATGCATCGCATGTTATGGTAATAAGGCCTAAGCTCCTCCTGGGGTGGAGATCTTAACATTAAAATAAAGCAAAGGTAGGAGCCAGTGCCGTGGCCTAGTGGTTAAGTTCAGTGTGCTCTGCTTCAGCAACCTGGGTTCAGTTCCCAGGTGTACACCTACACCACTCATCGGCCACTGTACTGAGGGAGCAACTCACATTCAAAATAGAGGAAGACTGACGCAGATGTTAGCTCAGGGTGAATCGTACTCAAGCAAAAAGAAGATGATTGGCAACAGATGATAGCTCATGGCAAATCTTCCTCAGCCAAAAAAAAAAAAAAATGCAGAGGTAAGCTCTTGGGCACTTCTTGGCCCATCTGTGCAGGCATCACTCTTGTGATGGGGTTTGGATTGGTTGATGGCAGTGCTTCCAAAACCTCCTTTGAGTTACCCAGGGCAGTTAGTCAGTGATATACTTACACAATGGTACAGCTTACTACACTCCTAGGCTTTACGGTACTAATCTTACGGGACCACTATCATATCTGTGGTCCACTGTTGACTGAAACAGCATTTTGCAATGCATGACAGTGTGTTTGCATTGCAGCCCACAGCCCAACTAGCTATTTACTTTTTCAGATGTTGTTTAAATTACTTTTCTTGCAAGCTTTCAGAGACTTTCCTTGCAGTGACTAAATGTCCCAGAAGATCAGTATTTTGGGGGATTGCAGAGATTTGCTTTAGCCAACACTACCTATAGAAATATAATGTGAGCCACATATTCAGTTAAACATTTTCTAGTAGCCACGTTAAAAGTGGACTAATTTTAATAACATGAGTTTAACCCCGTATATTCAAAATATTAACATGTAATTATTGTAAAAAAATTGATGAGATATTTTACCTTCTCTTTTTTGTACTATCTTCACGAAATGATGTGCATTTCATGTTTATGGCACATCTTGATTTGTACTAGCCATATTTCAAGTACTCAGTAGCCACAGATTTGGACCCAGGTGTGTCTCATTCTTTTTCCCTCTTTCCGTTCTCATCGATTTGTGACTGTTCGCTTTGCCTGCTCTTTTATCGACTTTATTCTCTTCTCTCCTGCTGCTTCCAACTCAGCTTGTACTCACTCTGGGTTTTTCTTGGACTCCCTTTGAATTTTGGTTTAAGCTATTTTCTCTTCTAAAACCAATTTTTATTTGTCAGTAGAGGGCTGATGCCCTGGAAGGGGCCCCAAGGAGACTGTTGTCTGAGAAACACCTCCCTCAAGGAGGTTTCCATTTCTCCCCTTTAAGCAGAGTTTATTCAAGTGAAGGCAGATTATTCCATTTTGCATATTTGGAATAGTGAATTTTAATTTTAGAAATGAGTGAGATCTGAGAGAGAGGATGAATGTTGTATGTAATATATTGGGTAGTAAAATACGGTTGCAGATGATAGCTTTGTATTCACAAAATGCTCTTTAAAAAGTAGTTTTGTGTTCTAAAATTCAATCCACCTCCATTGCTATGCTAAGTTACTTCCTATTTCTGCACGATTGACCACTTAATCATATTGTGTGGACGTGTCTATAAAAACACGTGCATCTAATAAAAATAATTTAGAAGTAACTTTAATATTACTTCTTTTCAACTTCTCATTGTAGAAAAATCTGGACAGTTGTAAAATCCAAGTTCAATGATTTAAAATTATAAAATTTTTAAATACAACTTTTTAGCGTGTTGGTCAGCATTGGTGTACTTTATGTTTTGCTAGAAACCGAGAGGATGAAGATGCTCGTCATTAACCTGAAGCCTATTAATATCAGAAACAAAGAAGTAATGAAAATAGAAATCCATTTTGATTTGCAATTCGACATATCAGAAGCTTCCATTAAAGCATTAGGAGAAGACAAACAGGTAGTGGTTTTAACTCTTTTTGATTATTTAACTGTTTTATTATATTTTCATGTCTCAAATTTCCATGTTGGGCTTTTAAAATTGAGATATAATTGACATATAACATATTGGTTTCAGACGTATAACATAATAATTCACTATTTGTATATATTGCAAAATGATTACCATAGTAAGTTTAGTTAACTGCCATCACCATAATAATTTTTTTTCTTGTCATGAGAACTTCTAATTTACTCTTAGGAACTTTCAAATATGCAATGCAGTATATTAACTATAGTCAATATGCTGTATGTTACATCCTCATAGCTTATTTATTTTACAACATCTTCTTTATCTGTTGATCTACTCATAGACACTTATATTCCTTCCATATCTTGGCCATTGTGAATAATATTGCTGCAATGAACATAGGGGTGCATGTATCTTTTTGAATTAGTGTTTTCATTTTCTTTGCATAAATATCCACAAGTGGTATTGCTGGATTGTTGGCAGTTCTATTTTTAACTTTTTGAGGACCCTCCATTCTGTTTTCCATAGTGGCTGCAGGTACACGATTTGCAGATATTTTCTCCCATTTGGTAGATTGCCTTTTCACTTTGTTGATAGTTTCCTTTGCTGCACAGAAGTTATTTAGTTGCATGTAGTCGCTGTTATTTTTGCTTTTGATCTTTTGCTTTTGGTGTCGTTCCAAAAATCGTTGCCAAGACTGATGTCAGGGAGCTTACTGCCTGTTTTCCTCTAGGAGTTTTATGGTTTCAGGTCTTACATTCAAGTCTTTCATCCGTTTTGAGTTGATTTTTGTATATGATGTAAGATAGTGGTCCAGTTTCGTTCTTCTGCATATGATTGTCCGGTTTTTCCAGCACCATTTATTATTTAATAAAATCCTTTTCTGATTGTATATTCTTGGCTCCTTTGTTGTAAAAGAATTGACCATATATGCATGGGTTTATTTCTGGGCTCTCTGTTCACTTCCATTGGTCTGTGTGCCTATTTTTAATGCTGATACCATACTGTTTGGATTGCTGTAAATTTATAGCGTAGTTTGAAATCGGGGAGCATCATGCCTCTAGCTTTGTTCTTCTTTCTCAAGATTGCTTTGGCTATTTGAAGTCTTTTGTAGTTCCATACAAAATTCAGGATTGTTTGTTTTCATTTCTGTGAAGAATGCCATTGGAATTTTGGTAGGAATTGCATTGAATCTGTAGGTTGCTTTCAATTGTATGGACATTTTAACAATGTTAATTCTTCCGATCCATTTCTTTCATCGATGTCTTACAGTTTTCAGTGTACAGGTATTTTACCTCCTTGGTTAAATTTATTCCTAGGTATTTATTCTTTTTGATGCAATTGTAATGAGATTGTTTTTCAAATTTCTCTTCCTGATAGTGTTATTAATATATAAAAATGCAGCTGATTTCTGTATGTTGATTTTGCATCCTGCAATTTTACTGATTTTGTCTATTAGTTCTAACAGTTTTTTGGTGGCATCTTTAGGATTTTCTATATATAGTATCACGTTATGCAACTAGTAACAATTTTACCTCTTCGTTTCTGATGATGACTTTTATTTCTTTGCCTTGTGTAATTGCTCTGGCTAAAACGTCCAATAATATGTTAAATAAAAGTGATGAAGTGTGCAACCTTGTCTTGTTTCTGATCTTAGAAAGCTTTCAGTTTTTCATTATTGACTGTGATGTTAGCTGTGGGCTTGTCATATATGACCTTTATTATGTTGAGATGTGTTCCCTATATCCCCAAAAATGGATTATCAAAATTGGATTATTTTATAAAAATAATTTATCAAAATCAAACTATTATCAAAAATGGATGTTGAGTATTGTTAAATGCTTTTTCTGTATCTATTGAGATGATCATATGATTTTTATTCTTCATTTTGTTAATGTGGTCTGTCACATTGATTGATTTGCAGATGTTGAAGTGTTCCTGCATCCCAGGAATAAATCCCACTTGTTCATGGTGTAGGATCCTTTTAATGTATTGTTGAATTGAGTTTACTAATGTTTTGTTGAGAGTTTTCATATCTATGTTCATCAGGGATATTGGCATGTCATTTTCTTTTCTTGTGGCATCTTTGTCTGGTTTTTGTATCCGGGGGGTGCTGGCCTCATAAAATGAGTTTGGAAATGTTGCGCCCTCTTCTATTTTTTGGAAGAGATTGAAAAGTATTGGTATTACTACTTTTTTGAATGTTTGGTAGAATTCATCAATGAAGCTGACTTTTATTTATTGGGAGGTTTTTGATTACTGATTCAGTCTCCTTACTAGTAATTGGTCTGCTCTGACTTTCTAATTTCCTGATAATTCAGTCTTGATAGTTTGTATGTTTTAGGAATTTATCCATTTCTTCTACATTGTCCAGTTTGTTGATGTATAGTTTTTCATAGTAATTTCTTTTGATCCTTTGTGTGGTATCAGTTATAATGTCTCCTCTTTTATTTCTAATTTTATTTATTTGAGACCTCTCTCCTTTTCCTGGTAGGTCTAGCTAAAGCTTTGTCAATTTTGTTTATCTTTTCAAAAAACTAGCTCTTAGTTTAATCTTTTCTATTTTCTTTTTAGTCTCTATATCCTTTACTTCCGCTCTGATCTTTATTTCATTCTGTCTAGAAACTTTTCATTTATCTTTCTTTGTCTAGTTTTTGTGGTGAAAAGTTAGTTTATTTGAAATATTTTTTCGTTTTTTGATACAGGCATTTATTGCTATGAACTTCCCCTTTGGAACTGCTTTTGCTGTATCCCATAAGTTGGTATGTTGTATTCCCATTTTTGTTTGTCTCAAGGTATTTTTTGATTTTTCTTTTGATTTCTTCTTTGGTCCATTGGTTGTTCCAAAGCATGTTGTTTAATCTCCACATATTTGTGAATTTTCCACTTTTCTTCTTGTAATTGATTACTGGTTTTATTCCATTGTGGTTGTAAAAGATAGTTGATATCACTCAACTTCTTAAATTCGTTAAGAGTTATGTTGTGGCCTAACATATGATCTATCCTGGAGAATGTTCCGTGTGAGCTTGTATTGCTGTTTACTTCTCCCTTTAGGTCTGTTAATATTTGCCTTATATATTTAGGTGCTCCTACATTAGGTACATAAATATTTACACATTTTCTGTCCTCTTGTTGGATTAACCCCTTTAGCATTATATGATAATCTTCTTTGTCTCTTATTACATTGTCGTAAAGTCTGTTTTGTCTGATATAAGTATAGCTACCTCCACTTTCTTTGGTTTCCATTGCATGGATCATCTTTCCCATCCCTTCAATTTCAGTCTGTTTATGTCCTTACATCTGAAGTGAATCTCTTGTAGGCAGCATATAGATGGATCTTGTTTACTTTTTTAAAAAAAAATATATTCATCCACTCTATGTCTTTTGATTATAGAATTGAATCCATTTACGTTTAAACTAATTATTGATAGGTATACACTTATTACCATTTTGTTATTTATTTTCTAGCTGTTTTGTAATTCTTCTCTTCCTTCTTCTCTTGCTCTCTGCCTGTGTGATTTGATGATTTTCCATAGTGGTATACTTAGATTCCTCTCTCTTTATCTTTTTTGTATCTACTATAGGTTTTTGCTTTGTGATTAGCGTGAGTCTTGCATAAAACAACTTCTGCTTGTAAGTCTGTTTTAAGTTGATAACAATTTGATTGCATTCTAAAGCTCTAAATTTTTGATGTCACAATTTACATCTTTTTATCTTGTGTATTCCTTAACAAAGATGCATAGTTTTTTTTTTTTTTTTTACTAATTTTGTCTTTTAACCTGCCTAATAACTTCCTAAGTGATTAACCTACCACCTTTACAGCATTAGATTATTCTGAATTTTACTGCATTTTTACCCTTACCAGTGAGATTTATACTTTCGTATGCTTTCCTGTACTAATCAGCACCCTTCATTTCAGCTTAAAGAAATCCCTTTAACATTTCTCGTAAGGATGGTCTAGTAGTGATGAACTCCTTTAGCTTTTGCTTCCCTGGAAAATCTCTCTCTCCTTCAATTCTGAACTGACAGCTTTGCTGGGTTGAGTGTTCTTGATTGGAAGTTTTTCTGCCTGCAAAGTTTCTGCTGAGAAAACTGCTGGTAGTCTTATGGGGGTTGTCTTGTATGTAACAAGTGTTTCTTTCACTGCTTTTAAGATTCTCTCCTTGTCTTTAACTTTTGACGCTAATTATAATGTGTCTTGGTGTGGATTGCCTTGGATTCACCTTTTTTGGAACTCCCTGAGATTCCTGGATTGGAATGTGTATTTCCTTCCTCGGGTTATGGAAGTTTTCAGACATTATTTCTTCAAGTAAGGTTTCTGCCTCTTTCTCTCCCTCTTCTCCTTCAGGGACCCCTTATAATGTGAATGTGGGTCCACTTGATGTTGTCTCATAAGTCCCTTAAGCTATCCTCACTGTTTTTCATTCTTTCTTTCTTTTTGCTGCTCTGATGGGGTGAGTTCCACTGCCCTGTCTTTGAGTTCACTTATCCTTTCTTCTGCTTCATCTAGTGTGCTGTTGAAACCCCTTGGTGTATTTTTCAGTTCAGTTATTGTATTCTTCAGTTCTGTGACTTCTGTTTGATTATTTTCTCTCTCTTTGTTGAAGTTCTCATTATGTTCATCTATTCTTCTCCCAAATTCAGTGGGTATCTTTATGGCCGTTATTTTGAACTCTTTATCAGGTAAATCACTTATCTCTTTTTCATTAAGGTCTTTTTCTGAAGTTTTATCTTGTTCTTACATTTGGAACATATTTCTGTGTTTCTTCATTTTCCTTGACTCTCTCTGTTTGTTTCTATGCATTAAATACAACAGCCACCTCTCCCAGTCTGAAGGAGTGGCTTTGTGAGCATACAAACCTTGTCATTCAACCCTGCCCAAGCTCTTGGTTGTCTCTGAAACCTTTGTGGTTGTCCAAGCAGCCTATTTTATTTTTAGTGGCTCCCAGTAGTTGAGGGTGTCCCAAAACCTATCAGTGTCCAAAAAGAGA